TGACCGCGCAGTGCCCCAAATTTGCAGTAAGAGGACCGACCAAGCCTCTTCTTCCATCTCCCTGTTACAAAAATCAATGCCGTGTACACGTCCACTGATAGGAGACGCTGAAGGTATTAAACTGAACAGTCTCTATTCTGCTCTTGCATTTCTATTTCTTCATAGAAAACTAAAAAATTCTGAGAAGACGTTGGCAGGGCTATTCACTTGTGTGATCTGTCATGAATTGTCATTTGAATGTTATTTTGAACTGTGGGGCACAAGAACTTGAATCTGACAAAATGGTTGCCATATACACGTCCACTGATAGGAGACGTGGAAGGTATTAAACTGATCAGAACAATACTAAACACACCACTCCTTTTTTTTGGTGAGGCTTTACAGGACAGAGTGCTTCTCCACGGGACATGTTAACTCACGGGCAGCTGGCTCATCAAGGAACCAGAGCAGCTTTCCATGTACAGGTAAGACACGTGCAGCCGGTAAGGGTTCAGGCTCTTCTTCCTGGAGGATACGCTGCAAGCCTGTTGAACGAGGTGACTTTGCTCGGGTCCCAGGTGTACGGTTCCTAAAATGGCTGCCATATACACGTCCACTGATAGGAGACGTGGAAGGTATTAAACTGATCAGAACAATACTAAACACACCACAAATAAGGTTTCTCTCCTGTATGGCTCCTCAAATGATGCTTAAGATTAGAAGCGGCTGAAAAGCATTTCTCACACTCCGAACAAAAATATATTTTTTTAACATTCTCTCCACTTTGAACGAAATGACGTTTGGGAAGAGATTAACATAATTAAACACAGGCAGTAAAAATACAGTTTTTAGCCATACACTGTAACTTTAAAACTACACATCCCATCTTCATAATTACATATTTGGAATCAGCACACTTAAAACATAAACATAACCAAAAATCAGCCAAATCCATCCAGGGGTTAAAAAGTTAGCTGGAGGTCCCTTTATGACCGACCGCAAGCACATTTTCCTGCCCAAAACAGTTCCATAGATTTGGGCTGTGAGGTCGGTCTATTTCAGGCTGAAAAAACGACTAAGTCCCATCGCCGAATGGGACTTAGTCTCTGCAGCTGTAAAACCAGTAGGGGAGAAGGTAGCTCAGCGGTGTTCGCGGAAATGTGTAGCCGATTTTAGTTCCATGAATTTGGCTACACATACCGCTGACCTCGCCGAATGATCAAAGATGGCCGCCGCCACGTGTTCGGCAAACGAACAAAGACCTCCCAGCATTGTCAATTAAGCTGCGGTTAACCGCAGCTTCTGGGAGGTAAATTGCCTGCACACTTCCTCTTCTGGGTGGTCTGCCTGTGTGGTACTTGGTTCAGTAAGCCCCATTTACTGAACCAAGTGGGAATTAGCCAGGCAGGCACAAAGGGTTTGCACCAGGTCTGGGGACACAGGGGACACCGTCTTAAAGGGGCAGTGTCCCCAACAAGTCTGGCAGTGTGGCAGTGTCCCAATCTTCCTGATTGCCCAAAAAAGGTGTTTAAAGGGCCAGCACCAGTCACATAAAGAGTCCATAAGCCCCAATATGCCCACCGACAGTCTTAAAGGGCCATACACACCAAATAAAAGTGCATACATTTTCACAATCTCCCAGGGGCCATAGTCATGCGGGAGGAGGCTGGCAAATAGGCTTCTCCACAACCCAGGGAAGCAGGGCACTTTGCCATTTAAAGGGCCCGTTACAAATAGCAGTTTGTAACAAGGTGTCAATCCATATCTGCCAAGTGACCCGATGTAGGGGGAACAGTCCCTATTCTGCTCTGTGTCAGTGTGTATCAGGGAACCTTAGGACAGGTGTCAATCCATATCTGCCAAGTGACCCCATGTAGGGGTAACAGTCTCTATTCTGCTCTGTGTCAGTGTGTATCATGGTCTCTGAGGACAGGTGTCAATCCATATCTGCCAAGTGACCCTATGTAGGGGGAACAGTCTCTATTCTGCTCTGTGTCAGTGTGTATCATGGTCTCTGAGGACAGGTGTCAATCCATATCTGCCAAGTGACCATGTAGGGGAACAGTCCTATTCTGCTCTGTGTCAGTGTGTATCATGGTCTCTGAGGACAGGTGTCAATCCATATCTGCCAAGTGACCCTATGTAGGGGTAACAGTCTCTATTCTGCTCTGTGTCAGTGTGTATCATGGTCTCTGAGGACAGGTGTCAATCCATATCTTCCAAGTGACCCTATGTAGGGGGACCAGTCCCTATTCTGCTCTGTGTCAGTGTGTATCAGGGAACCTTAGGACAGGTGTCAATCCATATCTGCCAAGTGACCCGATGTAGGGGGAACAGTCCCTATTCTGCTCTGTGTCAGTGTGTATCATGGTCTCTGAGGACAGGTGTCAATCCATATCTGCCAAGTGACCCTATGTAGGGGGACCAGTCTCTATTCTGCTCTGTGTCCGTGTGCATCAGGGGCTCTGAGGACAGGTGTCAATCCATATGTCAAGGTGTCAATATGTCATATGTCAGGTGT